TTTCATCATCCCCCATCTCGAATGAAAAGTCCAAAAAAGAAGTGATTCTAATTTTCGGCGAAGGGAGTGGCTTGCCAGTTGGCTTGTTCAAACCTGTCTGTCGCAGCAGGAGATGTCCATCAACAAAATTTTGCCGAATATTGCAGGAAATCAATCAGCCGATTTGTTTCTGCCATTTGTGGCATAAAAAGCATCAAATGAAAACAAAATAATAGTTATCGGCGATAAAAATTTCTCCATTGGAATCAGCCTCGATTGTTGCCCCCTTTAACATCTCATTTTAGCTATGTTCCCTATCAATGACGATCACTTTGTCCTTCCTTCGCCCCGTCGTTATCCCACCTTTCACCATCATTTCAGCAAGTTCAATAAATTTCAGTCAAACGGAGATTCTCATATTTATTGTAAGATGAGATGGTTATTGTTTCTTGTTAACTGCAGAATTCTAGCACATTTATTTATTTTTCTATGTCTTTCATTTTGGTTTACATGCCAATAACCTTTTTCTTCGATGTCTCGCTATATCGTCTCCAGAATGGAAAATTCGAGTTCGACGAATATTTTCTGTATGAAAAGAAATCAATTTTGAAAAATGTTAATTTTTTTAGTTTTTTTACACGAGCGTATTTCTTTTGGTGATCATATTCACCTTTTACGTTGATTATTTGGTGATTCCTTATCAAATACACGAAAATAATAGGGTAACTTTATTTACATTAAAAATTTTAGAGGAAAATACAATTAAACAATTCTTAGATCAAGTCTTCAATTGATGGCTCTGTTCTTATCAACGATTCAAATTTTCCCCTGACACTTGCATTAATCGGACTTCTCCTGGTCTTTGGGATGAGGTTGATCTTTTAATTAGATTAAAGTCCGTGTCGAGCTCATAAATTTAAACTAAAAATACGTTCGACTTATTTGTTAAGTAATACCGGAGTAACTTAAATCGTCTCAAAGTTAAGCTTTTAGTTGGATCATTGTTGTTGTAATTCTTTTATACAAGCTTCCTCATCTCGGGCCTCCTCTGAGGATCAAAATACAAACGATGCATCAACAATTATTACGAGTTTCGATAGTTCAGGTACATGAGTGGATTCTCGGATGATATTTATTGGGTACTCCGGAAAAGAAATGCATTTTTCTTAATGATTTCTAATTGCAAAATCTTTCCAAAAAAAAATCAAATGAATCAAAATAACAACCGTTAGAATCAATACACTTTTGCCAACGAGTAGCCAGTTTTTTCGATCCCTGGCGGCAAAGTCGGGCTGGCTAGAGGCGATGAATTGATTAGAACTTGTCCTCGATAGAATTTTTCACCTTTGTTTCGTTCTTGAAAATTTTATCTCCACCTCTAGGTTTCAAAAAGGGGACCGACTGGACCCGATTTTGTGTTCACAGATCTATTCGATAATCTTACTAGTGTTTTTGTCAAGTCAAGATCGAGTTTTCACATGAGCGCTGGCCCATCTGATTAAGAGTTTTCATCAGGAGATTCTGAATCTGTTTTTAGTTTTGCCGGAACCCTTGATGAAAAGTCTATCAGATGGACCAAGCATGATGTGAAACTCGATCTTGACTTGACAAAATTCCCTGGTTAAAACCTCACTAAAACTAATTCTAAAAAACTGTCATTTAAAATATCTAGATAATTTTTTTAGGTGACAATATGTGTTCTACCTTAGCTGATAATAGCTTTATCAACACTTGTTCAAGATAAGCAAACAAGTAAGTATTTAAAACTCCGATTTATACGGTTCTCCTTTTCAGACAAAATTTTTTTCTTATTCACTAATGATAACCACTTTGCATTCTTCCGGCAATTGTCTCATCAGTTCTTTTGTGACAAAATACTATCGAGATCTTTTCATTAAACTTTATCAGGTACGGACAAGAATCGACAACCATATGATTAGATTATTTCGTTTTCAGCGTCTCAAAAAACGATTCATTTCACGAATTGGAGATTCCACTGCTTTGAAAGTACAACAACCAAAGCTTTATGTCGTTCGACCTGATGAAAAATGAAAATATCAAATATTTTGTGCTTTATCTGATAGCTAACAGTTCGATGTCTATAAAATCTTAATTTAAACTTCCTGTTCAAGCGCATTATTTTCAGGATCCTTAAAGATACATTCTTTGGTGATCAAGTTTTTCATTGGTTGAAAGGTGGTTCGAAAAGCCGTTGTTCGAAAAGCGAAAAGCGAGTATGAATTGATATGAGCCGTGAATCAACCTATTTTCAACTCACGAATTATGCTTGGTCAAGAGCTTTCGCTGGTAATCGACTCATTGTTGAAGCACCAAATCAAAAGATGAGAGAAAAACGAGAGAACATTCATTTGAAGCGATTTCTCTATTGATCTTCTTTTTCATTTGTGGCTTCACCGCAGCAGATTGAAATTCAAAATCCGTTGAATCAACGACTAATTTTCTGGTTGGCTTCATGACAATGTAACTCCTCAACCGCCAAATCCACCACAACTGATTTTGTAAAATCTCTACAAAGGCTAAATCCGATAGCTTTCAATTGGCGCTGGACCTAGAATTTCAACCTTGCTGTTGGATTTAGTCTAATTTGCCCTAACTCTTAGCTTTAGCTTGACTTACAGGGTGCGTCATAATTATTGCAACAAGAGTTCAAAGACCGCTTTCCAAACAGGAAAACGGGCGTATCATCGGGCGTGTAAAGCCATTAACAATCAAAATTGGACCTTCATGCAAGATGGAGCTCCCGCTCACACGAAGGAGACGGTTCAGGACTGGTGTGTGGCCAACTTTCCCTCAGTGATCACCAAGGATGAATGGCCTCCAAACTCACCGGATCTCAACGTGATGGACTCTTCCATTTGGGCAATCTTAGAGGCTAATGTCTGCTCTCGAAAACACACAAGTTTGGATTCTTTGAAGAAGTCTTTGACCAAAGGATGGAAGGCGACTCCTCAAGATGACATTCGGGCCGCAGTGGACGCATATCCGAACCGATTAAGGGCTGTTATCAGGCAAAAGGCGGTCATATCGAATGATCTCTGTTTCCTTATTTGTTACTGTTAAATAAAGCTATTTCTGTTTAAAAATCTTCTTCCAGTGAAACTTCTTGGTGTGCAATGCCTTGAGCATCTTGTTGCAATAATTATGACGCACCCTGTATATTTCTAGGATTTAAAAGCTATTTAGCGTTATTAAATTTTTAGTCAAAAAATGTAAATTGATCAGAAGTTAGTTATAAAGTTTGACAAAAACAAACAAAGTTTGACTTCTTATTTCAAAATGAGACATATCATAAAACGAGACGTTGAGGGGCATCCAGGGGTACGGTAATTGAAGTGTGTTTGGGAAAACAGGGCCCTATTTCTGAGTCGGACAAGAAAAAAAGCTATAACTTTACGCAGAATGATTATTTTTAATCACTTTTTGAACTGAAATGCTTAGAAAGGATAGTGAAATAAAAATTATTAGACAAAATTTTTTTTATAGTGGACTTTTCTCAAAGTCAGAAGCCTTCAAACCTTGGTCTTTTTTGAGATTTTTTTGAGATTTTGAGATTTTCATATTTTTCCCTTATCTTAAAAATTTGAGTAATTCTAACAAATTGCTTATAACTTACAATAATAAAAAAAGCTGGAAGTGTCTATTTTTAGAATATTTAAAAAGTAAGCAAACTGGTCAAGGTGAAAGATTTTATGGCCGTTTTACGAACTTTAGTTTTGGCTTTTTTGCGTTTTTTGAAAAAGCTCATTTTCTAAAAAACTGTCGATGGAATTTAAAAATGATATCGAGATTCGGTTTTAGTACACTTTTTCCCATCGAATGGTAGGTATAACATCAATTTTCATCAGAAAACGCACTTTCGCGCGGATGTGCGTTGGTCTTCGAAAGACTGACCGCATGGACGTGAAGTGAGTTGACTATAGCATTTACAAAATTTTCTTATCACTTTGGTTCTATTGGGTTGGGGAGAATGAGTCGGCGCCGAAAATGAAAAAAATGTCTAAAACTTCTATTCGACTTCGTCAAATAATATGCGTTTGATATCAGTGAGAATGGTTAACTAATTCTCTACAAAATGATATTTAAAAGAAAATTCAAACAGCGCCTCCGCTCAAGAAAAGCCATTTTTCCACAAAAACTACAAACTGTGATCTAGAAAAACCATTGGTGGGATCTCTCCTGCAAATTTGGCAACTTAAGTAATTGAATGTGCTCTATCTTTTTTTATATAAACACCAAAGAAGGTTTATAGTGAAAGAAACTGTTCAAAATGATAAGAGTCGGACTCCCTGCCATTTTAACCAGCTGCGTTTGGAAGTTCCATAAACTCCACGAAAGAAAAGCTTTGTGGAATCTCTCAAAAGTCATTTTGTAGAGAAGTATTGGATCCTTTTGATGAAACCAAACGTATGTTTAAAGAAGGCTTTATGTGTGCAAAAAGTCCCTTTAAAGCTTGGCGCCGACTCATTCTCCCAACCCAATAGCTAAAATATTGGATACCATAGTGACTTCGTCGGTGATGTGCTGATCGGAGATAAAATATGCCAGTAAGTTTTAGACAAAAACATGGGTTGCGGATCAACTCGGACTCACAATAGAACATTGAGTTTTATCAAATCAAAAGTAAGCCTTGATAACGAATTGGACTTAGGCCTAAGCTTAACAGCCGATTCGTTGAGAATAATGCGATGAAAAGTTGATACAATACACATCCTGTTTAATAAAATACAATATATAATCCTACATTTTTAGACAATACGACAAACTGAGTGGTGGTTTAGAGTTTTACCATTTTTCATGAACAGAGACACGAAAATTCTGTTTTAGCTGTTGATTCTTGTTTCAAAACTATAAAAGACGCTTATTACCCGGACATTTTTCGCGGAACTGATATTGACTCATTTATTCAGCTCCACAAAATACACAAGTAAAAGCTCACATTTACAATTTTGAATTGATTCTCTCATTGCCTTTGATCTCCAACAAATGATCGAAAAGTATTATTGATAGAATGTGAAAGACGAAAGCGGTAAAGCTAAGCGGCATTTCAGCTGCGTGTCCCTCGGAGCACTGTGATACAAAATTGAGGCTGTAGATGAGCAGAAATAATCCCTGAATTTTGCAATATAAGAAGATTTGAAAGGTAGACGATTTTCACCAGCATTTTTCAAGGAAAGCTTATTGTTTTTTTAAATCTCACCGCCACAATTATGTAGCATATGACGCAGTGCCCAGTGTTCAGTGTAAATCCAGAGCGCTCCAGCCATTACACCAGTTAATTTCATAGCGAGACAAAACGAAAGCAATCCAAAATACATTTGGTGAGTGGCTGAACGTTGGTGTGACTTTTGCTAAAATTTGGATAGTGAGGAGGTGCTCTAATGTTTGTAGAATTTGATCAGGGACTCTTTGAAGTTAGATTTCAGGAGCAATCTGGATTCCGAGGTGCAAACAGCCCAAAGCTGCTTTCAAATCATATTTGATCATAAGCCGTTTTCGAAATCTAAGCCTTTTAAGTGTCAAACCAATTTCGCCAAACCGGCCTACCCTAGCAGTCAGCTAGCCTACCCTAGCAGTTACTAGCCTACCCTAGCAGTTAGCTAGCCTACCCTAGCAAGCTAGCCTACCCCAGCAAGCTAGCTAGCCTTGGCTTCGACCAGTCGGTGTGCCTCGTTAGCCTAGTCAATAGTGTTCTAACACCACACACCTTTTGTCCCTGGTTCGAATCCAGAGATCAGCGCCAAAGCTTTAAGTAGGCTAGCTTGCTGTTTGGTAAAATTGGTCGAAACTTAAATGGCTTATACAGTCGAACCTCTCTATAACGTAACTCACGGGACGGCTATAGCTTACGTTATATAGAGGTTTACGTTATATAGAGTGCCGTTTTATATAGCTAACGTCGGCCGGGACCGGTCACGCTTTACGTTATAGAGAGAGGTTTACGTTATATCGAGGTTCGTTATAGAGAGGTTCGACTGTATCTTGAAAACGGCTTATCGCAAGTAGAATTTTAGCAGTTTTGAGATACCCTTAATCAGGCTGTTTGCACCTCGGAAATCAAAATCGCTGCTGAAATCTAATTTCAAAGAATTCCCTGATGAGAAACTCACCTTTCTCGAGTCTCGTTGTGCACCTCCAGATATGCAATGAAATTCAAAAGAGGCGGTGCAGCTAGAACAACAAGTAGGAGAATCCACAAAAGCTGAAATGATTTCACTTCCTTAAAACAAGACAAAAGGTCACCTTTAGTTTAGTTTGGCGTCTTGATGCCTTCTTTCTTTGTCTCACCTGAATATAAGCTATAAACTAACTTCTTCCAAAGCTTTTAAGAAGTAATACAAAGTGATTTGTTTGTTTGTAAGTTAGGTTTCTTCCATAAGTAAAAAGTACAACTATCAACTGTCAAAAAGTACAACTAACAGGGAAAGAATCCTAAAGTTCAGTTAGGTTGATTTCAAAGAATTTCTCCTTTGATTCAGAACTTTTCACTTCAGATTGAGGTCATGTCTTTATCACTGCACATTTTACATTCCCAGCTTTTAAATCTCACCAAATTTTCTGTTGAATTTCCCATTCCATTGTCCTCAATTCTCCCTGGTTGATCTGAGGAATCTTGAGGGATCGTAATTGAAGAAATTCGAATAAAAGCTGCTGCATCGTTTGAAACATGATTCTGCAAACAAAATTTTACTGATATAAGCTTTTACCAAACCCGTTCTCCAGTTCGACTCACTTCTGGAACAATAGCATAGCCTATACTGGAATCATTGCTAGTTGTTGCAGTCGTGTCAGTTGTTCTCTAGAATTTTATTTTCAACTTCAAAGCATTTCTCAATACAGAGATAAAATGTTTTATTAAAATTCTAGTTTCTAACACTAACTCGCTTCATTGAGCCCCAAACGTGTCCACTTTGGTTTATTGGTTCACCAGCTGAAGTACGACCAAGTCTTCCTGAAAAATCAAAAATCGTGAATTAATAGGCTAGTTTTTTAAGCAGAACTTAAGAAAATAAACCTAGTTTAGCACTTTTTCACTCTTTGAATCTAGCCAGCTAAACACAAAGTTCATTTCTTGTTTTTCACTTTTTTCTTTTCTCAACCGTAAGCAGGGCTGTCCCGTTCCCAAAGTCGATTTGCCAGGGTCAAGACAAGGCCAACCCAACAATTTTTGCTCAATTTCCCGTGAACTCCCGGCTAAACCAAGCCAAAGCCAAAGTTTCAGCCCAAATCCAACAATTGGCTTCGACTGGGCTTCGACTGGGCTTCGGTTTGGCTTCGACTGGGCTTCGGTTTGGCTTCGGCTTGGCTTCGGCTTGGCTGCCGCTTAGCTTCGGCTTGGCTTCGGCTTGGCTTCCGCTTAGTTTCGGTTTGGCTTCGGCTTAGCTTCGGCTTGGCTTCGGCTTGGTCTCGGCTTGGCTTTGGGTTGGCTTCGCGTTGGTCTCGGCTTCGGGTTGGTCTCGGCTTGGCTTTGGCTTGGCTTCGGGTTGGTCTCGGCTTGGCTTTGGGTTGGCTTCGGCTTGGCTTCGGCTTGGCTTTGGCTTGGCTCCGGGTTGGCTTCGGCTTGGTCTCGGCTTGATCTCGGTTTGGCTTCGGCTTGGTCTCGGCTTGGCTTCGGCTTGGCTAGCTATCTTGGCTAGCTTCGGCTAGACTGGCTTGGCTTGCTTTTTTGAAACAACCCCGCCCTTAAGGGCCAACCAATAAAAAGCTCCTCAAAAATTCTGAATTAAAAAGAAAGCTCTGTCTGTAAACTGATTGAAACTTGAAGAAAAAGAAAGAAAATAAAAATCTGTTAGATAAAGTTACCAGTTTCCAGTTTCAGCGCCTTTGCATTGACTCAAAAGTAAATCTCATCAAAAACAAACTCATTCAAAGCTTACTGCTTTGCTGTGATTGAGCAGGGCTAGCGTATTGTGGGTCAGAGTCGTCTTGGTCGAGACGACGACCAGGATTTTGTCGTAAATGTTGCAGTGCTTTGAATGCATTGCTCATGGCTTTGTTCTAAAAATTTTCTGTTGACAGAGAACAATGAAAAAGTTAATAAATTGGTTTAAGACTTACTTAGAGTAAAAACGAGGCTGGAATGTGGGCAATGCAATGGCAATGGAAAAAGTGAAATTTTCCTCGAAAAATTGCGGGCATTTTCTGGCGAAAGAATTTCTTTTGGATTTCTTTTTGGATTCTTTTTGAATTCGAATAACGAATATGCTTCAAAAATTTTCTAATCAGAACAATAAAAACCTGGTGGACACTGAGAAACGGTGATTAAACACTGCAATTTCGTCTTTTCTTTTCCAAGAAATGGTCAAAAAGCAGAAAAGCACTTGTGAATGACATTAAAACAAAAGTGACAAGTAAATGAAATTTCTGTGAGAGCCGAGTGTGGAATTTGTAGCAAAAATGCAGCCAAATTTGGAGTAAAAGTTGGAGCCAGGGATTTGGGTATAGTGGAGCCGACAAAAAGCTCTTCTAGTTTAGTTTCTTGTTTCTGAGTTTCTCTAAAGGTTGAGACTAGTTAAACTCAAGTTCCATTTGGTAGACTCAGCAAAAATGAATATCTCCAATTTTTCATTCCAATTAATGTCTATTTTCTATCATAGTTTTTGCTTAATTTAAGAAAATTGAGTTTTCTTGCTTCTAAACTGAATATTCTGCTGCGAATCTGTGATCAGTTTTTTGATATCTTGTTCAGAGCAGAGCTATAAGTGTTTTTCGGAGCTGGCAGCACTGCTAAATATTCTCCAAGGTGTTCAGCAAAACTCGAGATTTGCCAAGAACGTTTGGTGAACCCAAAAATTTAGCTAAATTTAGCAGCTGGTAGACTCGGGTCCAAATCAAAATAATCAGACGATCAGATCAAGCACTCGGTCAACCTAATAGTGAGGCCATGTTCTCCAAAAGATCAACTCATCATTAATAAAGCGATAACAATGGTGTTTCACACTTTTAGCATTCGAGTAAAGTTCTTTGCAAAGCCATTGTTCAGGAAGCCTTTGGTTGCAGACACTTTTTGAGTGACGAGGAATATCCTGAGCCAAGATTGCGGAACAGATCTCGCAATTAAATGCAATTAAAGCATTAAAAACTGCAACTTGCTCAACAAATAACTAATTTACTTGCCTATTAATCTGTCTTTTCATTGGATAGATCTATTCTCCATCATAGTTTTTGCAATCTTGAATCTGAACAGAGTTCTTTGTCAGAAATAGTCAACTCCAAAGAGTGATCAACCACTGTCATGCCTTTCAATGAAAATTTGTGAACAGTCACCATTTCTGATCCGGATTTTCTCAAAAATCCAATTTAGAAATTTCAAAATAATCTAAACTTCTTTATCTTTTTATGATGAGAGAAAGGTGAGGAAGATGGAAAAATTTTGGGGAATTTTTCGTGATAAGGAAATTGCCTTTTTTAAAAGAGGAACCGTGTGATTGCTGGACGGAAAACATCAACAAAATTTTTATTACTTCGAAAAATCGTATTTTTGGTCAATATTGAGTTTTTGAATCTTCTGAAGGATGAGCAGGCCTCCACCAGCGTACCCAGACTTTGGTTCGTTTCAGGAATTTTAGATTTTAAATGTTTTAAACTTTGTTAACTTTGAATTTTATGAATTTATTGAATTTTTTTTTCATTTTTCAGTTATTACTTCATCTTTTACGAAGACAAACCACCTCTAGCATACGTCGAAGATAAGACTGATGAGGTAAATTTATCAAAGTTATCAATGACAAGCATTTAGCTATAACATTTTAAGGTATTTCCGGGTTATGTTTTTACTGCTCTTTTTCCAGTTCTCCTAATTAGTATTATTATTCTAATCTAATTCCAGATCCTAATATACGTTTTTTTTATTAATCTTCTAGCTATTGTACGTAGCTTATTGCTAGATTATGGGAATAGCAGGAAAATGATTGCATGAATTTTTTAATTGCCAACAATTACCCTTTCTATTTCCCTTACTACTAGGAGATCAGTTTGTTAGCTTATAACTAACTTAAATACATAACTAGGCCCAGCGCTTACCTAGCTGTCCATAATTACTTACAATGATGTCTGGTATGGTCCTGGCAATAGCTAGTTGGTTTGACCTAAATATTATTATCAGATTCATTTTCTCTACTTGATTCTAAAGCCATTCCCTTGATCGAAAGGCTCAAACTTATTTTTCTTTATATTCTGTTTTATATTTTATTCCTTTTTCAGCCAAGAGCTGACAATTTGGACCCACAAGCTCTTCAAGCAGCTCTTCGGTAGAAATGGCGCGAAGGGAAACGTCTCGAAAGGGCACTGCAAAGGGAAAGAGAAGTCAGACTTTAAACTAAACTGTCTGAAATCTATTTTGTGCTAAATGGAAACACAATATTTCTTTGTGTTTTATTCAAAAAAGAAATCTAGGCAGCCCAACGCGAGACCTCATCCGGGCACTTGAATCATGTGAGCGTTATTCGAGCACCGAGACGAGAACAACCGAGAACGGTTGGAGTGCTGGGTTGGTTAAAGTGTTTAATAATCGTAATTAACAAAACATCTTGCTTTCAAGATAGATATTCACTTATTTAATTGAAATTCTAATATTCTAATAGCCAAACTACTGATTCACTGAAAAACTGGACTTCTCTGAACTTGCTTGAGGCAAGTAACGTTCTAAAGTATTGTAACATGATTAAAAGAGGCAAAAAATAATCTTAAAAGATTTTCAACAAGCTTGAAAAGAAATTAGCAGGCTGTTAGACTCTAATAAACATCCGCAGTTCGGTTTTGTATTGTTCTAGCAGGGTTTTCCGAACACCAACTCTTTTCCGAACAAGAGCTTATCGTTAACTACCTAAATTTTTGATCCTACAGTAGAACTTTTAAGATATCAATCATCGGAGTGGCTATCGGCGATCGCAGGCTTGCAGCATATGTTGTAGCAATGTCTTATTCCACATTTCGCCACAATCGCAAAGCTGTAGAATATTTATTATTATTATACTTGTCCTTAGCCCATGTTGCTGGCCTTTTCTTGGTGAGTTTCGAATTTTAAAGGTTTTTGAGTGATTTTGAAAGAAACCAAGAACTAATCAACACTTGAACTCATTAACAAGACTAACACCACGTTTTAGCCATCTGGCTAGTTCATTACGCTTGTCATAATGATGATACTGGAGGGACGTGTCGATTCTTTTAGACTCTCCAACAAAGAAATGTATTTTCCCAATGTAATGCCTGATATTTAGAATAAAGCTTTTAAAATTTCACATGATTCACAAGCGGTCCAGTTATTCAAATACGTCAAGATGAAAAGTGAGAAAAAGATTTTCAACATTCAATGAGAATTAAAGTATGCATCATCACGATTTCTATATAACATCCGGGCAACAAGTTTAGAATTTGAGAATTCCCATAATTCCCCATGCTGATTAAACTTGAGAAGTCGCTTTGTCAAACGTCAGAGATTACAGGTTAAGAAGGCTGGAAATCTGACGTCCCACCAGTCAACCCTGGAGATAAGAAATTATTAAAAATCGTTGTAACATTGAAATTTCTATTTTAGAAACTTTTTAAAAAGCGAACCTTGTTCTCTAATATTTATGGAATCTAATTGTGGGACGTTGTCTGACAATGAGCTTCAATTAGACGCTGCATCATTAATGCTACGCCCTACAGCTTACTCCATTGATCTAAATGGAAATGTGCATTTGGTCACTCACCCACCTTCACAAGCAAGAAGTGTGATAGACGTTGAACACCATTAGTTGAAGACTGGCTTCAGCCCAAGAAAAGAAGATCCAATACAGGTCAGTAACGTTGACATCAGAGTTATACGGTCGGAAATCCAGTTAAATTCGTTTCACGGTATTTTGGACCGAGTCGGACCAGATAAATTCACCGGGCCTAAATCCTTGGCCTAGTAAACCACCGTTTTTCTGAGTCCAATGAATGATTGGTCCGCTTGAAACGAATCGGCACGGTTAGACAGTTGTACAGGACTTGTTGGTTGTTGTTTTTGATACAGAAATAGTTAGACAGGACAGTTGAACGGTTGCATAGTGATCCGGTAACCAAATCGAACCGGGGAGAACTAGAAAGCTGGATAGCTCTTGAAATAGCACACTCTTGAAATTACTTTAGATTGAACTGATTATTTTCAAGTACAAGATACAGTAGTAATCACTTCAGCTTCACCTTTGGTATCTTTCTTCTTTTAAATCTTTTGCTATCTTTCAGCCGATATACTCTTGCCTGTAGGTGGATGTTTTTTGGAAGTGCTGGCAGATGTTTGTAAGTTATTGCTTCATTGCTTTATCCTCGTTCTTTGCCTTCCCCTTCTCCCGTGTATTGGTGGGTTTCAAACTTTTAAATCTGATATTAATGCATTCTGTAACACCATAGACAAAATTAACACCGAAATTTCAGTCTGCGGTATAATTGCTTATTGTCATAGTCATGACAATGATGATGGTTCATGATACAAGCCTATAAAGCAAATCTTTATATGTTCTAATAAAGAATTTCTTTAGTTACTTTCTCAGTCTGTACAGCTTTTTTTGTGATAGTTAATCACTTCTCGACTTCTAATACATCTTTAATATGCTTCAAATAAAGCTTGCAAAGAACAATAAAGCTTTTAATTAGAAAGCATTCAATGGAGGCATTTACTCGACTCGTATTGACTTTTTCTCACTTTTGATAGTCCATTGTATTTATTGTATTCATTCTATAGTTGAAACAACCATTGTATCTATTGTATACATTCTAATTGACGGTGATAACAATGATACAGCTACATTTTATCATCCTACTCTAAAAGCAACGCGTTGAAGATTTATCAATCTTGTTGTAAGAAATATATTTATACTTTGATCTTTATAACTTTTTGTGAGACCGTGTCTCGGTGTGGTTCAATGGTAGATGTCTTGAAAACGCACAATTTATCAAAACTTTCCCTTATTAGGGCAAAATTCGCTCAAACTGGAGCAACCTGGCACTATCAAAATTACTTCAACACTGGCGTGAGAAACAAGGGATGAATAAAAAAGAGCGCACACAACCGACTCAAAACAAAGCTTAAATAATGGGTTTTCAAGTACACAAGTTACGTCAAACGGACAACTGAATATCTTCTAGTGGCTGATTACGGTAGTTTATTCATCAACTTTGAATTTTAACTTGTGCATTGAATTTTTGACTAACTGCAGAGCAGTGGCAATTCGCCACACTCTTCTAACAAAGGAATAAAAAACACATTTTTATTCACACAAATAATGTATTACAAACAATACAAAAGCACAACCCTTAAGCCCTAAATATAGGGAAGAAAAACCCATATATATATATATGAAAAAAGTAAACAAGGATCTAGCCAGCGGGAGTGAACCCCTGATCTCCCGACTAAGATGTAGGGCTCTTAGCCAGTCGACCATGATGTTATTTTATTTAAAATCACTCAAAATTTCACAATGATTGAAATAATGTTTCTAGTTTTGTCGAAGATGACACCATGACGACCCTCTCCGCCAGTTAGATGGCCGGATAGACCCTGAAAAGACAAGCTATAGACCAAATTAGGTTTATGTCCACAATTTTGATTAACTAGATAAAAAAATCATCTGGTTTATATTTAAAGATGCTTTAGCTTTGCTTTTGTTGACTTTTTCAGTCTTATTTATGGGGAAAAGAACCTAGCCGCGGGATTGAAACCCTGACCTCCCGACTAAGATGTAGGGCTCTTAGTCAGTCGGCCATGGTGATGAACGACCAGAACTTTGAACATTTGGGTCATTAAGAGCTCTCTCCTCGAGTCTCAGCCATTTCCTTGTAAGGCTAGAGCACCTTGATTGTGAATCTATTCAAATTAATTGAAATCGGTACTCGGTTTCAGTCAATAGAACTGAAAATAGAAAGTTTTTACATTTCCAATGTATATTCCAATGTATCTAATCTATATTCTTATATATTCTTTCCAATTTTGATACTCAACTTGGGAAAGATACGTCATTAAAATTCAAGATTAGACCTTAAGTTGCCAAAAAACGGTCACTTTCAGTCAACTCTAGAGATAAGAAGTCCAAAATCGACGTAACATTGAACTTTTCTTTTTATTTTAACTTTATAATCTTTAAAATGGATCACTTTCCTCCGGATCGGGTTGTGACCGAAAATCGAAGTACATTTCTTGAAAATGCAGGTCAATTTACAATTAGATTCAATGAACCATTACCAAAGTTTTTCAAATTTCACATTCAAGATCCAATACTAGACTATTTTGATATCTTTCAGTCCAAACAGTCAAACAATCGCAAACTGGCAAATTATTCATTATTATCGTGTTTATCCTGAGTCCATGTTGCTGGCCTTTTGTTAGTGAGTTTTGAATTTTCAAAGCTCTGTTTTATGAACGATGTACCAATTTATTTGGAGCACAATTTGGCTGTATTCTGAAAGATTCTAAAAGAATGACAGTACTTTAAAGTTTTAGTATGCTGGTTAATTCAAGACGGACGTAATAATGAAGATTGTTGAAGGAAAAGCTCCCATAGATTTTCAACAAAGAATTCATATAGACTTCCTGTGATCTAGTCACTTCCTCAGCTAAAAACGATCGCTTCTAGTCGCATTTTGTGAGAATCATTTCTTCTACTGAATCTTTACTGTAATGATTGATGCTTGAAATAAAGCTTACAAAAGATAATACAGAGTGTTCAATATTTTTGGAGACTTTTGAGTTTGAAGCTTTTAGCGCTGCCAAAATCGGTTTAGGAAAAAAAAATCATGAAGAAATCACTGGATTACTGAAAAAGTGACTTAAACTTGTTCAAGTATATGTGTTTTTTTCTTTTTTAACATTAGATTTGTACAAAACGAGCTCTAAACCTACCGTAAATACTGTAATTGGACCCCACCCCTCTAATAGTACCCCACCCTAGAGGGGGAGGGAAAAAATAATACCCCACCCCTCTAATAGTACCCCACCCCCACCTAACGCGTAATTACAAACAACTCTTTTAAAGCGGAAAATTTTCATGTATTTTCAGAAATCGTTTGTATTTTTAATTTTATCCCATAAATTTGTTGTTTTTAAATTTGGGGTGGCTACTTTGCGCCAAATTTTTTGCGCAGCTCGCCATAACTTTCTTCTAAGTGGGCCAGTCTTTATGATTGTAGATCTCAACAAGTGCAACAAAGTAACACCAAAATCATAAAGATTGGCCCACTTAGAAGACTTGAACCACTTAGAAGCCACTTGAACTCGGAGGGGATTGATATCGGTTTGGCTGAATGGATACGGGATCGTCGAGCCGAGAAGAAACGAGTGACACGCCGGATTATCTGGAATGAAGCGGCTAATCGATTCGAAAAAGCTGAAATTTCTTTCAAAAGAAGCCATGGCTGGATGGAGTCGTTCTTGAGGCGCCACCAACTTTCTTTGAGGCCATCAACAACAACTTGTCAAAAGCTGCCGAGCAAATTTGAGAAGGCCATCGTCGAGCACATTCTGAGGCTGAACAAGACAATCAAAGAAGGCGATTACAAGCACATTGTTGCTTGCGATGAGACGGCGTTTTGGCTGGATGCTTCGACGAGCAAGTGCATCGAAGCGGTTGGAGCCAAAGAAGTTGGTGTTAGAGATCAGAGATGGAAATCGGACAGAGACGGAAATCGAGGACCTCTTGGGGCCGCTCGCATCGACGGGATTTCAAGGACATCGAGGAATTGATGATCAAGAAAATGATGAATTCATTGATTCAGATGTTTCTATTGATTTCGCTTGTTAGTTGTTTTTGTTCCGTTTTGCTGTTAAATTTTCAAATGGTTAAAACCAATAAAAACTAAAGAAAAAGTTTGCTTTTTGAAAAATTATTTGAATGTATCCTGATTTGGTAACTTGAATAGTGGTGTAAAATAGTGACCCACCCTCTAATAGTGCCCCACCCTAGAGGGGGAGGGAAAAAATAGTACCCCATGGGGTCCAATTACAGTATTTACGGTAGTGATTTATTGGTCCGCATAAATATTGAACACCATGTACTGTTCTTTGAACACCTAGACGATGCTGAGTCACGCTTGGCTACCCGTTTGGACCACGTGACGCAATGCTGAGTCACGCTTAGCTACCCGTTTGGACCACGTGACGCAATGCTGAGTCACGCTTAGCTACCCGTTTGGACCACGTGACTTCATACTGAGTCACGACTGTTTCTCGTGAATGACTGGACCAAGCTTAGCATCGGCCGGGACCTAAATTCCATTCCATTATATAGAGTTTCCCGTTATCTAGAGTTCTGTTATAGAGAGAGTCGACTGTATCTAAACTTTCTTGCGATAGACAGCTGCAAGCAAAAAAAACAACCGGTCAACGAGTCGAAAAATGAAAAAATTGTATGAAAATTTCATATTCTTAACGTTTCATTCAACTTGAGAAAGCTGTTTGTCAAACTTCATGATTAAAGGTTAAGAATACCAAAAAAGCGGACATCCCCATCAACTTGCTCTTTTCTCCCCATCAACTTGCTCTACAGATAAGAAAACCGACAAAAAGCGTTGTTACATTGAAATTTACATTTCAATATTTAATTTAAAGTTTCCAAGCTCTCTAATATTTAAGCCAATTTTTAAATAATGTCTGAGCTTCCAATGGACATCTCAGCATTGTCTTCCTACACCATTGATGCAGTTTAGATAAATAGTAAATTATATTCAGCGTAAAGTATACGCAATTTGAGCTCAACAAACAGAAATGCAACAAGTTTTTTCATCCCGTCGTTGCTATTGTGTTTTTGCCCAGTTTTACTTTTCATTTGTTGATTTGACAATGAAAATGTTTGCATGTCACTTTTTCTTACACGCTGGCCATTTTTTTCTAAAACTTGCGGTCAAAATGACACACAATTTAGTAATTCTAATGCATCAGCGGACGTCAAGATAATACCTTATTTCTGAAATTCCGGTCAACAAGTTCAAGAATAAGAAATTTCACATTTTCAACTTTTTATGTGAAGTGCTGATTCATGCCGGAAAAGCTGACTCTGTCTCTGAAATCTCTGTCCTTCCCTTCAGTCTACTTCGGAGATAAGAAATCTGAATAAATCCCAGAACATTGAACCTTTTACCTTTTAACTTTTATTTTAAAAGCTTTCCAACACAGCTTTCCAGCTTTCTGTGCCGAATATTCGACACCAAATTCAAATTTGGGATCTAAATAATCAATTATCTTTTGTATTGCCAATTTTCGTGTAGAGCATTTAGCCCGTTTACTGGATATCTTTAAAGTTGTTTGCTTTATTTAAGTCTTTGTTGCCAGAATTTTGGATCTCTTTTTTCATTCATATGAAAGAGATACACTTCTTGTAAATCGAATAAAACTATTGTTTTCAAGTTGATTGGTCAGATTGCACGTCAATTTGGGAAAAAGTTTGTTGATCATCATCAGATATCACGATCAATTAGGGAGAATGGATCTCCGCCCAGATAAAAGATTGGAGAGGAAACAATCCTCGTACAAACCAATTTTATTCAGTATACTTTCCAACACCCTAATATCAGCGCTTGCGCGTTCTACACTCTCCTATGCCGAATGTCGAGGTTTTCCGTGAACCAATTAGGTTGCAATTAGGTTAAATTATCCTTTGCGTTAACTCTCAAATACATTACTCGATATTCAGGCAGATTTGCATTGCATATTTCACATTTTTACGCAATTGATTCAATAAATCTTAATCGGGCACCTGATTTGAATACATTCTTAATCGGAAGTGACATCATGACATCAATTCACCATGTAAATGTTCTGTAAATGTTTGTGTTTCGGCTTGAACAATGACCGAGATAGACAACCAACTGTCATTTTTTTTGTTCTGCAAGTTCAAATATTGCAAACATTATATTATATTGCAAATACAATAAATAATGATTTCTGTTCTCGATTAAATAATTCTCCTAAAGCCTAATTTGTTGTAATCACGGTGATAGATCGCATAAACGAGATTTCGTGTTCGTGGATTGAGCATGATTTCATGACGGAGAAGCTTTTGACGGCGTTCGCTATCACCCCCATGTCTAGTGTTTGATCGAACCAAGTGACGAAGGGCCTGGAATTCATTTTGAATTCGTTTTAGGTTGGCAATTTATAAACGATCGCTTGCGTTGTTCAATCATTCTTAGAATTCAAAAAGATTTTTCGCGGGGTTTTTTTTCTGCAAAAAACTACAATATTTTAGCGTAAACATAACAATTTCAAATTTCCGTTTCGAATTTCTGAGTCCCTATTTTCCTGAATAAAATGGAGGACGAAAAATTTCTTATTCGCGCAGCTATGCTCTACGATTTTAAACAAGGAAAATCAGTCGCTTCGCTATCACCTCCATGTCTAGTCTTTGATCGAATCAAGTGACGAAGGGCCTGGAATTCATTTTGAATTCATTTTATTTAGCAATAAGTACTGCGTATAAAAACGTGACAAACGCTAAACTGATTGATTTGATTTAAGAGAATTGTCGAAAGTATGACAAATTCTCACAAAGAGCCGGTTGGAGCTCGCAGTGGAACCTCAATATGCGGTATAGCACATCTTGTAGAGCTTGAAAAGACGAATCGAATGATGTAAAAATTGCTTATGAGCTTTGTAAACACTAAAAATGGCTTACAAGCTTTTGCTACATAGTCTTATGGCATTTTCAAAAGTCGATTTGAGTTGGCTCGGCGGTCTGGTGGTTAGTGCAGTGGCTTGTCAATCAAAGAGTCATAGGTTCAATTCGTTTTGAAGTTTTTTATTTTCCTTTTTCCAAGATATTCAAAAAGAAGTTTTTGGTATTGTTTTTATTGAGAGCTTGTTTGGTTTATGACATATTCAAATACAAATTCATACAAATTCATTCATGGTATCTACTATATATAAAGGGACTAAGACGTCTGTCTGTTCGTCTGTCTGTCTGTGCGAGCTACTCTTCAGCCCCCCCAGAGGGCCGTTTGCAATGATTTTTGCGCCGTTGAATAGGGAACTGCATGTAGTTGTGTAACGTGCTTTCGGATTTTTTAAAAAAGCACAATTAGAGTCGCACGGGGAGGTCGAACCCGGATCGTATGAGGGGATAGACCAGCGCACTATCCACTGCTCCACAGCGACAAAACCCGTCTATTCCCAAAATATCCGGAAAAACCGTTAGGTGGGTTTCTTGGCTGGTATTACTATACTATGAAAAACTCTAAAAGAAGTTGAGCCCCTGGCCCTTTGTTTGGTAAACCATTGCACTAACCACTAGACCGCCGTGCCATCTCAACTAGACCTTTGAAAACACCTTAAGAATGTAGAAAAAACTTGTAAGCCAGTTTTAGTGCGTTTACAAGTAATTAAGTAATTTTTGCATCATTCGACTCGTCTTTCCAAGCTCTACAAGATATTCTATACCGCCTATTGAGATTCCACTGCGAGCTCCAACCGTTTCCTTCTCAGTAACTCACCCTTTTAGCGACATGCTTCGGTATTCGAGCCCTTCTGAAAAGACGACTAAACTGTCGATACATGTCTTTTCGATCATTTGAATAGCGAATAATGAAAAAGTTTTGTCGCTGTTCATCAAGATTACAGAATCTGAAATCTTATTTTCAATTTTATCCTGCAATCAGATCTTTCAATCTTATTTTTCTTATATCAAGATCACAGATCAGATTTCCAGGCTTTAATTCTTCGATGAAGTCAAGACAAAACCTTATTGTCTAAAATTGGATTTCGATAAGAAAATGCTGTACCCGGATTGTGGAATAGCATGATAGTAGAGAAGTCGGAAGTCTTGTCCTTGCAAGAGATCCCTATTCCTGTGTCGGAAAAGCAGATAAAGCCAGGCGATAAACTGGTGAATATTGCGATCACCACACTTTCTCAGATTCCTGGAAAACTATAGAGTCAATGCACCTGAAATGTCAGCATTCTTTCAAGAGGCGCTTTTCAACCCAATTTAATAGTAAACTCAAGGGGCTTCAAAAATAAGAAAGCCCCATCTTTACTTTACAAAACACTTTTTAAGCCAGACCGGAAAGCTTTTGTTTTCACACTTTTTCAAATGGTCGCATCCGTTTCCTTCCTTTTTGCGTTCCTATTTTGCAATTATTCGCGTCGCATTTTTTCGTCTTTTTTCTCTCTTCCCGAAATTATTTTTTTTGGGGGTTCGGGGTTTTTTTTGCCTTCGTTCTGTTTGTTTGATATCTCTTTGTGGACTCGCTTAACTCTATAGAAATTAGAGATTTTATACTAGGAAACTAAGCACTAGAATACTAAAACATTAGCTATTTAGATATAACATTAGATCATGTACCTCTGACTGAGAATAAAACCAACTTAAGTCTTGTTCCTTGTCAGAATCAGCTCGAAGTTGACAGAGAGCAGATTAGCGGTAGCTTTTATCTTTAGGTATGGTAATAATCATTGAGTTAAGGTCTTATCAAAAAGAAAATCAGTATTTGGGTTGAGCTTGTTGAACTATTCAGGTTCTTAAGTTCTTGCGGTTCTTAAATTTGTGATTTCTTCAAAAGCAGCCAACCGTTTCATCTGTAATTTCTACTGAATAATCTATGAGTCGATGCTAACTAGTAGATAAAATTTGATAACGATTGCTTGATTCAAATAGAATGAGCTCTAACGTTGATGCGTGTGTCTTTCTGGACTCGCCTAACTCTATAGAAACACTAATGAAAGCAGTATTCAGAATATTTTTTGGAAGATCGGCCATCCGGATACAATGGAATCTCAATTAGCTCTTTTGATTTATCTTTTTATGAAATTTTCTCTTACATTAGCTCTCAAAATAAGGTAAAATATGCAGACTTGATTGAATAGTCATATCTCATTCTCTCAATTGAACCAAGTCATCAAACTTTTTCTACTAGTTAGCATATACTTATGGATTATTCAGTAGAAATAGTAGTAGAAATAGTTCAGTAGAAAAGTAGGGTTTTTTTGGCAGAGCTTCTGGCCCTTTTTGGGGGTTCGGGTTTTTGCCTTCGTTCTTGGGGGACTTTGATGTTTCTATTCATGCGCATTCTGTTTTTGTAATGGGTATCGTTGCATTTTTGGTTCTGTACTAATAAACAGTAAAATTATAAATTCAATTTACTTTATGCTACCCTTCAGGTTTTAAATCCTGCTTAGATAGCGGGTTTAACATTGTAGAAAGAACTAAGTAACATTTGTGTCGCCATCGACGAAGCATCAATCCGTTCTGTACTCTTATCACGAGTATTAACCTTATGTTGGATGCTGCGTGTTCTTGTTATGTTGTAAGCGTTTTGGGGAAACCCTTTTAACCTTTTTGTTCGCTATTCTGAAGCAAAGTCATCCCCGATGATAAGGTTAAAGCACCCCAAACTAAATGATCGAACTTAAGTAGTCAAAAATGGGCTGATGGAGAGTTGATGATTTAAAGATTTTCATTCAACAAACCTAACTTGGTGTTCAAATGAAACACATAGAGAATGTTTAATTATGTCTATACTCAAATTTTCAAATCAATCTGTTCAGTCGTTTTCTCTGGATGACGTTTTGTCAGCGTTTAACAAAATATGTGTTTTCCGCTTTTCATTATGGGTTCCAGACGAATCTGTAGATGTATAGGGCTATTATATAAAACTTCTATGGAACTTCGAGCTCGCAATAATGATAAGAAACAGCCGACGAAGCAGACCCTATACAAGAGTAAGAATTTAAGCTAACAAGTGGATCCGAACCAAGATCACAGCGTTCCGAGCCCGGGGACACTAACCACTAGGCTACGAGCTGACTTTTGGGATGGCAAAAGGAAAGCCTTTCCCCCGGCAAAAATCAGTGTGCCAGAAATTCGAGAAAAGCCTTGATTTTTGTAACTTGTAACTTGGGAAGGTTCCCTTGTAAGCTTACATAAAAATATATTCTCAAAACTCACTCGCAAAAATGTCCATACAAAGAAACCAAACGATCAACCGGGTCTCGAATGAGAGTGAATTTGATTGGATATCGCCGCTTTCGCCAAAAAGCCCGTCGATGGCCGGGAAACCAGCGATTCTTGACACATTCACTAGATTGAATTGAGCTAATATTTAGGTATTTTCTCACTTTTCTCCGGTTTGATTCTTCGAAAAGACTCGTTTAAAAGAAACGCCTCTATACTCGCGAAAAACGTCACATAAAATCGTGTGCGTGATCGTTGAGCCGGTTTTTGGAATTTGACAATATTGCAGACCGAAATGAGTGTTTTCCTGGAAAACCTATGCATGTATAATGCTTAAAAAACAACCAAGAAAACCATAATCCCGAAATTTTCCTGATCTAAAGCTGCCTTTAGCTTTAGCTTTAGTAATTATAGCGCTAACTTTTTGGAAAACTATCTGGGAAATGTCAAATTTATTTCAAAAATGTCAAGTGTTATTTAGAGAATTATAGCTGTAATTCTCGGCAACATTTATCTACAAAAAACTTCTTGATTTTGTATAAGTTGTATAAGTCCTTATACAACTTATTTAACAAGCGCTTGAATGAGCGCTAGTCGACATCAACTTAAATTTCGGTTATGCCAGTTTAGCCAAAATAGTTAAGTGTAATTCTTAATGTTATTAAGTGAGGTTAAACGCTATTTTTGCGTTGAAGAAATATTCTTAACAATTTTTAATAGAGAAAAGCGGACAAATGACAGATTCGGAGAGATGTCGACTAACGCTCATTCAAGCGCTTGTTAAATGAGTTCTATAAGTCTAATCGCAAAGTTTCTGATAGATAAATGTTGCCGAGAATTAGGGCTATAGTTCTCTAGATAACACTTGCCACTTCTAAAATAAGTTAGGCATTTACCAGATGCTGTTCCGAAAAGTTGTTGCTATACTTTGCGGTCACTTTGCACTAGATATAAGAGAGCAGTGTCTGCCTGTTGAAAAGCTTTTCTTAACATTTTTGAATAGAGAAAAGCGGACAAATGACAGATTCGGATAGATGTCGACTAGCGCTCATTCAAGCGCTTGTTAAATGAGTTCTATAAGTCTAATCGCAAAGTTTTTGGTAGATAAATGTTGCCGAGAATTAGGGCTACAATTTGCTATATAGCACTTGTCGCTTTTGAAATAAATTAACGATTTCCCAGTGATTTTTCTAAAAAGTTGTCACTACTACTTCCTATATTAGCCAATTTTAGCAACTGCCGGGTTTTTGCTATGTTCTGATCCTAACAAATGAACGTTTTAAACCTTAAATATAATTCAATGTGACTCTTAGAAGTATGCAAATTGCCTAGAACTATTTAAATCATGACGGAGAGGAATAAATTTTGAGAGCAATAAAAAAAAAACAAGTTCAAATGTAAACTTTGACCAATTTACAACAAAAAAAATCTCATAATTAGTGAAATATTTTATAAAAATGTTTTCAATTTCACAAACCAAAGCTGAGATGTGGCCGACCAATGTGGGTAGATACCGGACTTCTGAATTTCACTCGTACAAAAATTCAAATCAAAACTCACTAAATCCACTCAATTGCCAAGCTTTCAGCCTTTTCTTACATTCTCCAAGTTGAAATAGAAAAGAGAAATATTATCAAAGTCTCATGGCAATGAGACATCAAAAATGGCAATGAGATTCGAAATGAAACTGATTGAGGGAAAAAACTTGAATGACGGATCTTTTTACAAAGAGTGAAATAGAAATGAGCGCTGACAAATGGATCGAAAAGACGAAAATTCAAGGAAAAATTGGCAATAAATACAGTCTTGAATGAAAAACGAAACGTGGTTGACACGTTTTTGAGCTGAACCACTAGATCCAAGACCAAACTGAATTGCTTTACAGATAGAAAGGCTTTGAACACAAGTACGCACATGCCAGGGATTGCCAGGGATTGAGCAAAGCAATGCAGCGCTGTTTTATCTCATTTTTAAAGTACTTGTGTATTGAGTATCTTATATTTAAGTAAATTTTAGTTTTAGATACAATCAGAATATTCTTGGTTCACCTTAGCATAGCTCTGCGAAGCGAGCCAGCATTGACATTTTCGAGATCAAAACAGATAGAAAGGGATGTTGGTTGTGAAGTATACAGAGTGCGGCATTTATAGTGTTGCGCTTAATGCATCTTTTGACTTTCTAAGACAATACATTAACCTCATCCTCATGAGCGAGTCATGCTTCCACATGCAGCCCAAAACATGCGGCGAGGATGGGTGTTTATGCAAGATAACAACCCCAAATACACAACAAGGACACAACAAGGACCAAATCACTAAGCCTAGCCCTAGGGTCTGTAAGACTAGTCAGCCTGGCTGGATTTGTAAGTCTTGGACCAGTCAGTCTTGAACCTGGAAGTCTTTGACCTGTCAGTCTTGGACCTGGAAGTCTTGGGCCTGTCAGTCTTGGACCTGTAAGCCAGTCCATCTACTAGCTCCAGGCCTGGACCTGGAATCTCGTACTATTCAATACTCATCAAGAAATGATAGTCATGTTGGTCTTTTTAGAGTGACCTGCTCAATCACCAGATCTTGATCCGATTGAAAACATGTGGAATCAAGTTGAGAGTGGACTAAAAGGTAAAAAATTTGCCACCGGCGATCTTCTTTTTGAGGCTATTCAACAAGAATGGAACAAGATCCCAAAAAGTCATTGAGAAGTTGATCGAAAGTATCGAAAGTTGATCGTTGTCAAGCAGTGATCAAAGCTAATGGTGCTCCGACTAAGTATTGAACTTGTTAATCACTTTTGTTGCTTTTAACTGCTATAAAACTCATAAATTTAGTGAAAAAATGTTCGTAGATTTTAAATATCTAAACGAAAAAACTGTCAACTCTTTTGGTTTTTGAGAAAATGATGCTTTTGTAGAGCGCCTTTTGAAAGTAAATAATTGTTTTGTGATGTACATCACTCAGGATCAACTTCATCTATAGTATGTTGTCGGTCCGTCACGGGTTTGACCAACCGATCTTCAGTCACTTCGACTAGAAAACGTCATTAAAAACACTAGGTATTCTTTTTGGTAACGATCGGTTTTCTACCTTGGACTATATTAGTTTTGTTAAAATATTTGTTCAAAAATTCTCAAACAAGTAGGTATTTAAAACGCCTATTTCGATGATTTCAATCTAGCAAAATTTTTCTCTAATAGATTTGCGCTTTGCATTCTTACGGGAATTGTTTTATCGTTCTTTTGTGACAAAATGATATCAAGATCTTTAAACTTTATCAGGTAAGTGAATAGACAAAGAATAAGACAAAAACAATAATTTGGTTAATAAACTTCATTTTCAGCGTCTCAAAAAACGATTCACATCACGAATTGGAGATTATAGTTTGGTTAAACCGCAACAATAACAATCATATGTTATTCAACCCGGCCAAGCATAAAACTTCAAAAAAGAATCACCATTATTCATTGTCTTTTATTTTCTTCAGCTTAGCTCTTGTCTAAACTTGGCTTCAGAACTGAATAACAAGCTTTTGAGTTCGAATCGAGCATCTCAAGGCAGCTTGAGCTTATGCTAAGCAAATAAAACTGTTATTGAACAATGTGCAATCTCGATATCTTCTTGTAATCATTTATTAGATTGATTAGATATTATATTAGCAGATTAGAACAAAAATGGGCAAACAGCTGACAAAAATAATGCGATTTTTGAAGACAATCTATTCAACCCCGTCATTTACTGGACTCCATTGTTGATCGATCCAAATTTGACGGTCTCTAGACATTCACAAGTAATTTTTAAAGAAAAATCAAAACTTATTTGATGATAATTCAAAGAGCAATAACTATAGCTAATCCATACCTGAGATAGCAGTAATACGTATAGATTGAGCGTAGAATCCAAAACGCTAGCGGAATCGCGATCAAAATGCTACACGTCCAAACTAAAACAAAAAGAAATCTGTAGAATTTTTAATTGCCTTGATGCACTTGATTTTAAGCACTTGATGAACAAAAGTCTTTTAAGCTGATTTTCCCAAGACTTGCCCCAGGATTATACTAGTTTCGTGAGTTTTATCTGTATTTGTTTTATCTGTTTTATTTGGTTGCTTATCTCTCTAAATTTGGTTCCTTTTCCCTCTAAATTTGGTTTCTTTTCTCTCTAAATTTGGTTCCTTATCTCTCTAAATTTGGTTCCTTATCTCTAAATTTTGTTCCCTATCTGCTTCTCTATCTAAACTTGGTTCCTTATCTCTCTTAAGTTAGAAGCGAATAGAACCGAATCCATGAAACTCACCAATTAACGCCGCTAGCAATTGCTTCTTTTCTTCTTTACGTGTATCCTCCATTTGACTGAAAGTTTGCTTTCTTCAATTCCAATAAATTTTTAAACCTGTAAGCTATTATGAACAAAATCTCGTTCGAAACCAAGATGATTGTCGAGGAAATTGTAGAGGTAACCTGAAGACAAAGGAATTTGAGGCTTTAAGGTTTTTATGATTAAGACTCCGTCAAAGGCGGCATTTTTCAATTCTTGATCTTTTTAAAAACAACTTATCACGAATTGGGTTAATCAGCCTCGCCGCCATGGGCGACTGGCTAAGAGCCCTGTATCTTAGTCGAGAAGTCAAGGATTCAATCCCGTCGGGTAGATTATTGATTCTTTTTCCCATATGCAGTGGTCCAAAAAAGTAATGCCTCATTTGCAAAGAGTTAACAAAATCTTTTAGAATCAATTCTTGGTTGGTCCTCCTTTTGCTTTTATCACTTCATTGAGTCGATCCGGCAAGGAATCCACGAGATTCTTCAAAAGAGTTTGGGGATGGAGGCCCAGAGACGTTGGATGTGAACCAATAAGGCGGCCTTCCAACCGAATTTCTTTCCCTTGAGCCACAACTTCACAAATGGTCATATATGCTTGATAACGTTCATATCCGGTGAGTAGGGAGGCGAATCAATCAATTTGACTCGACTTGCCGCAAGCCAGCCCGGAAGTCGTGCTCGTGTACCATTTCAAAGACTCACCACTCGTCCCATCATCATCATCCTTGACTTATGTTTAGGGTCGTTATCCTGGTAAAGCAACCATCCAGGTGGCATGGTTTGAGTTGCAAAAGGAAGCATTTGAGTCTCCATAATGTTCTTGTAGGCCACAGCATCCATCGTTGAGTTGACGTGAACTAACGGACCTACAGAAGTTTGTCACATCGCTCCTAAACAAACAACCAGGTAACAAAATACTAAAAAGGCTCTTGCCCAAACACATTATGTTTCCCCCGTTAAATTTCACCGTAGGCTGAGTGTGTATCGCTTTCCAGTCGGTCGCCGGATGAGATGCTTCCCGTCCGCGTGAAATAAATTGATTTTTGTCTCATCGGTGAATAATACTTTCGCCCAATCACGTGTCGTCCAACTTCAGTAGGTTCATGCAAACACGAGGCGTTGCTTCCGGTGCCTAGAGTTCATCAGAGGTTTACGGGCAGCCCTTCTTGCATGTAATCCAGCTTGATTTAATTATCGTCTGATCGTTTCCGGCGATACAATCTTGCTAAATTGATCCCTCATCATTTGGCTTCCATCGGTTGATTTTTTTGTTAGGATCGTTTTTCACCATTCTGATCACGACTCGATCTTCTTTTGTAGTGGTAGCCAACCTTCAATCGGTCGGCTACTCTTGAGGCGTCAATGAAGGTTGACTTTTGACTGAGAAAGGATGCGGCGCACCGTCCATTTCGAGCAATTGAAGAGGTTAGCCACGTGCTTTTCCCACATCCCATTCTCCCGGGCCTTGGCGGTTTTGAGCTTCTCCGGTGCGTCGAGATTCTTCTTGCCGGCCATTTAAATAATAAAATAGAATACATTTGACTTAAGGGGGTTTATAGAACGCAAAAATAAAAGAATAATCAAGGAAAACATGAATGCGGCATTACTTTTGTGGAGCTAATTTTAGGGGCAAGTGCACTCTTCCAGATCGATTTTTTGATTGGAAAGATCTCAATCAAAAATCTATATCTTCTAAAAAACTATAATACTTAAAGTCTCTTAAAAGGGAAAAAATAAATAAATATCTTCAAACCTATGTTTTCAACAAAAGTTCTGCAAACTATAATTTTGGATGGCAATGGGGCATTAATTTTGTGGACCACTGTATATCGGGTTTTTTTCTTTCCTACACTTAGGGATTGTGCTTGTATATTGTTTGTACCACATTATTCGTGTAAATAAATGTATTTTTTAAATTATTTACCTGTAAAATCCAGAAGAGTTGCATGTAGAAAGGTTTCTGTGTTCGAAGCGCCATGAAACCGAGAATGATGCCGAGGAGAGCGGTAAGGAAACTGAGCTAAATTTCAAAAAGCATTTTTAAGTCTAACCAGCCGAAAGATCCCCCTAACGGTGGGGTTTTCTGGCTGCATCGCCGTGGCGCAGCCGGGAGCGCGCTTGTCTACAGCCCACATGACCCGGGTTCGACCCCCCGTAATGCCACTCAATTTTGATTTTTTAATTTTTTATTTTAAATGGTACAACCATATTATATATTAAGACTTTTTATAAAATTTCAGTTTTTTGGCCCAAAGACGGCTGAGAAAAAGCCTGTACAAACGGACGAACACAAACTGCTCTTTTATATATACCGTATTTCCCCTAATAGTAGTGCACCCAGAGCGTTGCTTAAATTGCTCGAAATCTCGAAAAGCGCTTATCAGAACCTATCGATGTGCGGTCGGAAAATGTAGCTGATGATGAAATCTAGTGGGGGATTAGAGTGTTGAGCTTCTGCAAAAGCTTGGAAACCGTAAAATAGTCACCAACTCGGCTCGCCGGGGTGCACTACTATTAGAGAGAATACGGTAGTAGATTTTCGAAGTTCAAAGAATGGAAAACTCACCCCACCAACCAAGGGCGATTGTGGGATCAACCCGGCCATCCCGACAAGTTGAAAACAATATAATCCGAGAACCACTTTGAAGCAAGTCTAAATGCTGGCATGATCCTCAAGATCTTCTTGTGTTCAGATTAAATTATGCTTATTTTACCGAATCTAGCTAAGCCAAACAAAAAACCCAGGCTTACCTCAGTTTTACACGAATTGCAGCATCCACGATACTCCTCGTCGCTCTGTTGTGGCTCTCGAGCGACCTCGCGATTCGGCTTCCACAACCAAACCGGCATCGGCATTTTGCTAAAAACTAGAGGCTCTCTTAATCATTGGGGTATTGCCGCGTAGTCTAACTTTAGACGCTCCGTTCTCTGCGTTGATTTATGCTACAATGTGCGCTTGAGTCTCAAACGATAGCACTTCTAATCTAGTATTTTTGGTATCAAAAACATAAGTGAGAAAAAAAAATGGCTTTGTAAAACGTCGATAGACTACGCGACTGTACGGGGGAGTGTACTTCTCTTAGAATAATTACGGTAAATAATCATAGCTTTTAAAATGTACGAGCAACGCTCTAAAGAAGAAAGCATATTATAGATTTTCGCATAATTAATGCATGGAGATTAGATCGAAGCTGTTGTAAGACTACATTTCGTTAAGTAAAAGCTATGTAAGCTATGTGGAAATTAAAAGAAACCATTTGAAAAGCAACACTGACACGCCAGATATTGCAAATAAAAACCCTCTCGGATTGTCAAAAGTGAGGCGCTTTTTAATACTCCAGATAAGGGAAATGTTTACCTATTGCTCATCAAAATGCCTTGAAAATAGAAAAATAATCTTATTTTAAGTTTTATTAAGAAAGAATTTGATCCAATGCCTAAAGTAAGCAACTAATATTTACGAAAAATGATTAAGTTATGAAAGCATCAGTTAGATTTGAGTCACTGAAGCTAATTTTGAGTAAAATATGGATGCCATTAGCCTTTAACACTGAAATTTTGACACCTTTGACACTGTACAAAGTACAAGTCTGTACAAATTATTCAATATACTCTTTTACAGTACTCTTTTAACTACTTCATGGTTATTGTAGAGTCAAAACGGATCATCAACAAGCTACAAGCGATTTGGTCTTTTTTTTTGCTAAATCTAGACTCATTGTCATTAGAAGTAATGCTTTATGTAAGATTGCAATTATTTTAAAAAAATGATTAAGCAAATGATGTTAAAACGAAAATCTGTACACATGTAAGCTTAATTCATCTTAAAACAGTTAATCGATGAGGCACAGTTTTGCGTATTGCTTGATAAACCGTCACCCTTTTTGACTACTTTCTCACCTCTAAAAAAATTCAAACATAACACATTTTAAACCCATTTCAATGTTATTTTCTAGAAAAATAATTGGTCTTTCTGAGGGAAAAACCGTAATTCAATTGGTGCATTTGTTGGTTTTAAGCGGAAGTACGAAAGGGAACGAAAAGACTTTCTGGATAGCCTAATTTAATTTACAGGGTGCGTCATAATTATTGCAACAAGAGTTCAAAGACCGTTTGTGATGTCAAGAATGTGATGTCATGGGCGTGTAAAGCCAATAACAATCAAAATTGGACCTTCATGCAAGATGGAGCTCCCGCTCACACGAAGAAGACGGTTCAGGACTGGTGTGTGGCCAACTTTCCCTCAGTGATCACCAAGGATGAATGGCCTCCAAACTCACCGGATCTCAATGTGATGGACTTTCCCATTTGGGCAATCTTAGAGGCTAATGTTTGCTCTCGAAAACACACAAGTTTGGATTCTTTGAAGAAGTCTTTGACCAAAGGATGGAAGGCGACTCCTCAAGATGACATTCCGGCCACAGTGGAGGCATATCCGAACCGATTAAGGGATGTTATCAAGGCAAAAGGCGGTCATATCGAATGATCTCTTGTTTCCTTATTTGTTACTGTTAAATAATGCTATTTCTGTTTAAAAATCTTCTTCCAGTGAAACTTCTTGGTGTGCAATGCCTTGAGTATCTTGTTGCAATAATTATGACGCACCCTGTATATGTCATAGCTTAAAACGTGATTTTGCCTATAGTGTTCCCTATTGATTTGAATAAAAGCTAACGCCAGAATTACGATAGTTTTTATTGTATTATTGCTAGATAAGACCAAAGACCAAAGTACGAGCGTTGTATTTCGCAAAAGTGAATGGTATTCTTGCAGCAGAAAATTTCTCTATTCTTTATTCTAAAGAAAAATAATCTCATTTTAAGTTTTATGAAGAAAGGAGAAAAGAAAATGCAATACCTAGCTGACTAAAATCTTCTTTAGATAAAAGAATCTAATTCTAAAAGATTATAAAAGATAAAAGAGTCTTTTCAATTTGCAAAATTGTTGATTTGATTGATTGAACTTTTTGTGAGTTTGGAGAAAGATTACTGTCAAATCTTTTGATTTTCTCTTTAGATTTGAAATGAAATGTGTGTTTTGAACAAAATAAGGTCAAATTTCTCAAGTTTAGTGAAGCTTTTGAGGATTCTGTCAAGTATTTCTGTCTTTCGATTCTTGAATTTTGAATTCTTGAATCGAAAGAGGAGTTGCCTGTAGCTGAATGGGAAACTTTTTGACTCAAATTGCCTGATTGAAGCCAATTAGCTGACTAAAATCTGCTTCAGATAAAAGAATCTAATTCAAAAAGATTATAAAAGATAAAAGAATTGAATCTAATTCTAATTCTAAATCTAATTCTAAATCTAATCCTAAATCTAAATCTAACTCTAAATCTAACTCTAAATCTAAAAGACTAGTTTAAAAACTTTTCTATCACTTGAACATCAAATATCGATTCAAATACTAATGGAAAATTTCTTTCATTCTCCTGTTCTTTCATTTGCTTTAGTTCCAACAGAACTCCGACAATCGATTCTGGAGAAACTGGATCCAATTGACAGGATGAAGTTATTAAATGTTAATAAATTCTTCAGAAATTGGACACTCAACAATGGAGCTCTGGGAAAAAGTTTGGAAAAGATCAATTTTCATGTAATTTGTGGTGCTGGCTTTACGATGAGACGAGTTGGGATCTCGATTCAGAAAGGGGATTTCACAATTCACATCAATTTAATCAAAGGAAAATCAATCTACGAGAAAATCGTCTTTTGCAAGGAATTCTTCATGACCACTGATAGAAATGCGGTTATTTCGAAAAGTGTCGACGATGCGAATCGTTTTTGCAAATTTTTCTCAAACTTGAAAGTGTTTGACGTATTTCAATTGAGAATTGGCGTCAGTTTGCAGATTTTCACAAGAATTTTTGAGAGATTCGATTTCGAGGTTCGGAAAAAAAGCATGGATTCAAATGCCTCAATATAATGCAAAACTTGAATCAACTGAGAGATTTTTCAATGCAGCAACACTGAGAAATTGTGAGGATTTGTTTTTTGAAACAGATTGCTCAGAAATATTATTGAATTTACTCAAAAAAGACATTTTTCAAGAAAATTCGATGGGTTTCAGTGTCAATTGAAAGTTTCAAAGGCTTTCTTCGGTGGAGTCTTGAAAATGGAAACCCGAATAGCGCTAGCCAATGCTCGATTAGTTGCAAAGCTGAAAATTCGGATTTTCAAGCGTTTCAAGAAATTTTCTTTGAGCAAAGAGTTGAATCGATTGATTTTGAATCGATTCAACAACCCAGAAACAGATTCTTTTTCAAATTTCCCTCAACGAATCAATTCTTCGGTAGAAAAGTTTCTGTATCGACGAAAATCACTGAAACAGTGGATTGCTACTATTGTTTGGTGAAGAATCAAAGCATAGACGATGAGAAATTCTTAGTTTCTTTATATGTTACCCAAAAGGCTTCCGAACTTCAGAATTAAAAATGAAAAAACATATTTTTGATTGTTCTTGAGATCTTCTTAAGATTCTTCTTCTTGAGAACACTGTAAGGTTCTTTTTTTGTTAATTCTTTTTTGTTTTGATAGCTCGATTTTATTTTTTAATTGAACTAAATTGTGTAAATGGCTACTTTACGCCAAACTTTTGTTGCGACAAATTGCGCAACTGGGTCTGAGAATACCATAAAGTTCTTCTTAAAGTTGTTTTTAATTATCAAAAAGATTTGATTAATCTAAGTAACCATAAATATCGTATATTGCAAATAAAATCATTGAAAGCATACTTCAGCTTCACTTTTTCCTCTCTGTGACAAATCAAGAATGAAAACAAGTTCATACACTACTGGACAATGAAATATCATATTTGAAAAACGATCGTCACTTTCAGCGCGTCTGTAACTTCCTTATCTTTACCGTATTTCTAAATATAAATATTACCATTGTGTAGCCCTTGAAAAGAGCTTTCAGAAAGTGTATAACACTAATAGTTTAAACTCAAAGACAAGGGAGTTACAGACGCGCGAAAGTGACAATCGTTTTTCAAATATGATATTTCATTGTCCAGTACTGTATGTGAGATTGGAAAGATTGGTCCGACTCAGAGATTAGATCTTTTCCTTTACTTCGTAAGTACGAGTTTCTATATTGAGAAACCCTGAAAGTTTAGCTGTGAATTGTAAAGCATATTATAGTTTAGATTAAATAATAAGGGTTAACTCAAATTAGTTGTTTTATGTTAATTTATAGAAGAAAAAGCTTTAGCTATAGAGGTTTTTCAAGAATCTAGCTATTACTTGACAAGAATCTAGTTATTACAAATTTTCTCAATAACTGCTCTGGCCAATCTTTTAATAGAAAAGTGATAAAATAAAATAAGTTTTTCTGCAAAGAAAGGGGAATCAAGAGAAACGGTGAGAGCCAGGAAGTAAAGGCAAAAAAACTGATAAAACCGGATCTCCAGTCACGGATTTTTGAAAAAGTTATTTTCGGCTCGTTTTTCTCAGTTCAACGTTGACATTTGCTAGTCAAATTCTTTGGTTCTCGTTAGTCAGAATTGCATCCATCTTCTAGACTACCGTATTCTCTCTAAAAGTAGTGAACCCAGCCAAGCCGAGTTGGTGACTATCTTACGGTTTCCAAGCTTTTGCAGAGGCTCAACGTTCTAATCCCCCACTAGATCTCATCATCAGCTACATTTTCCGACCCCACATCGATAGGTTCTGATAAGCGGTTCTTGAGATTCCGAGCAATTTAGGCAACGCTCAGGGTGCACTACTATCAGAGAGAATACGGTAATTAACCTTTTCTTTAGCTTTCAATCTTCAACCCTTCCCCATTTATTTTTATTTGTTCCTATTGTTATCAAAAATATCTCTTTTTCTCACTTTGACAAGCCAAAAAAGCTTTTTAGAAATTATGAGAACTCATTGTTTTTGACAAATTTACTATCTCAAATAAGTCAAATGTTTTGCCAAACGTTTTTTTCTCTAAAACTTTAACAAAACTGTTTTTCTGCTCAAATTGACTCAAGTTTTGTTTGTTGTTTTCTTTCTTTTTATTAATTAATCGACTTTTTGAATAAACAATTCATTCACTAGTATTTTTTCTACCAAGTATAATCCATAAAACGAAACCAATACAAACGATTCCATAAAGAACTATCAATGGAATTCTCAAGCGACAATTCGTTCGTTGAAGGGCACGATATTGTCGGATAGAGATCGATGGATGACGTCCTGAAATGAAAATTTGAGTAGAAAAAGAATAATCTCCATATTTCTCTATTAAAGTGTGCTATTAGAGGGTTTTCTTTTGAAAAACAGAGTACGATAGTTCCAAAGCAGTAATACAGTAGCCATTAGCTTAATCACAGCCTCTCTATCAACATGCTGAAATTGTGAAATTTTACGCAACTTGAGAAGACTTGAACTAGTTCTTACTAAATATGAAAAAATTCCAACCCAAACCTGCTTCCACCCTCGTTTTCTCGGCTGTTTCTTGACCGATTACTCTGAATTTTTCTACAGATAGAAATCAACATTTTCAACTTGTAGACAAACTTTTAGAGCAATTGCTCAAGGAAGGGCGGAGAAAACGATGGTGGAATTAGGTTCGAGTTCGAATTTTCCTATGTCTAGGCCCTACTCATGATCTGAACCTAGTTCGGCCTTCGTTTCCTTGACCGACTACTCTGGAATTTTGTCTACAGATAGAAATCGACATTTTCAACTTGTAGACAAAATTTCAGGGTAATTGGTCAAGGAAGGGGCGAGAAAACGAAGGGTGGAATTAGGTTCGAGTTGGAATTTTCCTATGTATGGAATTTCCCTAGTTGGAATTTTCCGGTAAAAATACGGTGGCTACGGCAGCAATCAAAGTGGCTTTTTTTGCCTTCATTTGCAAAGTCAATATTAAACGCAACTTTTAGAAAAACAATTAATGTTAGACACTATTATTTTAGAAGAAACGACAATAACATTTAGAATACCCATTCCCTCACCTCTTCCATATCCACTTGGAGAAATTCGATGATGCATTTGTAAAGAGAATCGATTTGATAACTGAAATAGAATACGTTTATGAATATTTATTTGTAAATTCGAAAGATTTAAACGATTTGCACAGAATTAACGAACCAAAATAGGCAAAAGAATTTCTCCTTCCACCACCACGAAGCGTACAATATCGTTGTCGCATTAATTCTAACTGAAAATTCTATTTTAAAAAAGCTTTTTGTGTTGTGCAAGATGTAATGTTAAATTATCTTTCATTCGCTTTATAGATTGCTTCCAAGTGTGTTAATTTTTTTGTTATTTTCTTTGTTATCAACTGAAAGATGTCCCATTAAAGGAAAAAATTTTTGGCCGATTTTTTGTGGAGAGAGTCTTGTTTGGGAGTTGTCCGATCTGAATATGTAATACCTATCGAAAGATGAATTATTTTTTTTTTTTGTACGGAAACCTAGGCTGAAACCATGTTTTTCTGAATCAGCATTGAAAATTGCCCCAGAAAACGCAAAACTCGTTCTTTAGCTAAAATTTTTCAAAAACCAAAAATTTGTTTCTTTTCCTCTTATTTTTGTTTTGTATTGTACTACTTTATATTGTTTAATTGTTTTAAGACATTATTTGTTTGTTTAGTTTCATTGTCTTGTTAATGTTTGTTGAATGTTAATGTTTTAGAGCCTGAAAGCGGTGATCGCTCTGGATGGCTCTGATCTGAGGGTCGAGGGTTCGAGGGCCCGCGGCAGGTCTTTTGAAAAATTTTAGCTAAAAGAACAATTTTTGCGTTTTCTAGGGCAATTTTTAATGCTGATTTCGAAAAACATGGTTTCAGTCTAGGTTTCCGTACAAAAAAATGAAAAAAAATGATTTTTTGAAATTTGTGGTCAGATGCCTCAGTGAAACAGCTGCAAAAACTTTGAAAATTGATATATTAAAAAACGATTGATTGATGATATATTTGGATGATATAAATTGATATATTTTTTATCCAATCCGCTAGACAATTAGCTTTCGAATGAGTTATTACACGTCCGGATCGGACAAGTTTAAGAACCTCTCCCAAAAAAATCGGCAAAAACCTTTTCCCCAACCTAGTACTTATTTTAAAGTTAAAATAGAGCGAATTCGACCAGTTAAGCATCAAAATAAAATGAAAACAGAAGGAAGGGATCGAACCAGCGCAAGAACTCCCTAGCTTGTTTCGGAAACAAGACTCTTATCCACTAGACCAGAAGCTCACCTCTCGACTTAAAGAAGTCTTATATAGGGACTGATTTTTGAGCTTTTTCAAGCAAGGTTTGTTTTTAAAAACCCACCTCTTGTTGAATTTTCAATCTCTCCTCGAGTTGAAGTCGTTCCAAAGTGGCCAATTGTAACTCTTTCTGCTCGATATCGGCTCTCATTTGTACCATTGATTGCTGAAATTACCATTGATTGCTGGAATGGTCGAGTTTCATTGAAAATAGCTTTAAAACAAATGCTTCTCAACTAAATCAAGCTTATGACAGGTTTTACTGCGTTTTAGAATTTGTGAATGATTTCAAAATTCCTCAAGGCCTCAAAACTAAGCTTTTCTGCAAGAAAGACGTCAATAAAACATTTTGATTAAGGTTTTTGTTCAAAAATATGATTGGTAGACAAATAATTTGCGCTCGGTAAGTTAAATTTGTTTATTTTATTGAAATTGATTAAAATGAGGTGCAGCTTTTTTCAAAACTCACCTCATCAGCTGGTTGATAATCTGGCGGTCGATCAGTTTCCGATCTCGTCTCATTGGCGCCGCTTGTTTGTGCCTCCAAATCTGAAAATTCTGAACATTAACAATGTAAGCTTGCAAAGAAGTTATATTTATAACAAGAATTTGAGGACTTTAGAAAAACCAAGAGTTCGGAAAATTTGGTGAGGGCCAAAAGCTGGGAATGTGAAGTGAGCAGTTATTGGGTTGGTGAATTGAAAACAGCCGGCTATTGTCATATGTGACAGTTTGGGCACTTTCTTCAAAAGAAACCCATTTTTGTGTCAATGGAAAAGTTGTAGAGAATCAAAATGAAGCTTATATCCAAATTTTCAGAACGATTCTAAAACTGGTTTTCAAGAAATGCCAAATTTACGAACTTACACAAAACTTGCATTTTAAGCGAAACTGCTAAGTGTATCTTTTTGGAAATTTGACTATAAGCCTTATTTTTGATTCTCTACAACTTTTCTATTGACACCAAAATGGGTTTCTTTTGAAGAAAGTGCTCAAACTGAACTGACGGCTGACATCTCCAGTCCTCCATTTTTGAGTCTCAACACTTGTCTCACACACAAACCAAAATCCTACTACGAAAGTGAAATTCGCAAATTGCCTGTAAAATGGGCAGAAGTCGTCAATAATAATGGAAATTGTTTGGGAATGAATTCTTGGTTTTATGTTGAATAAATTTTGGTTCAAAAGTCCGGCAGTTTTCAATTCACCAACCCAATATAACAAGAATTTGAGGACTTTAGAAAAACCAAGAGTTCAAACCAACTAAAGGTTGAGTTGCTTAAAGTTAAACCATATTTTTACCAGGTTCTATCTTTCAAACTAGACTGTTTCCAAAACCTTTTTAAAATTCAAAATATTAGGTGACTTATCAACTTTAAAACTCACCTAAATCGTGGTAAGCAGGAGGTGCAGGTAAATCGTCGAGCATTTTCATCAGAATTTGTCAAAATTGAAAAATATTCGAAATCTTTGCTTTCCAGAATCTGTTTATCAAAGAACGCCTTTTTAAAATGGGTCGATCGCTTTAAAAATAAACAGTTTCCTTATCAGATTCCGGCTGAATCGATGGGATCATAAAGGGGTGAAGAGAAGAAAAAACGTCTAGCCGATGACATCAAAGATGAGGCGGAGAATAGAGGAAGTACAACCAAGCTTTTGATACATCAAAGATGATGAAAGTTTAGGCTTTTTGTTTAAAATTGTCAAAAATTAGCATATCTTTTAGCTTTATCTCATCAAAAAAACCATTTTCGCAAGACTTATCAGCAAGATGCCGGCCCACAAATCCAAGAAAGTCCAAGAGTTCTGCTAAAACAACTTCCCCGGGCTTCATTTCTTTTTCTGAGTGGCCAGACCTCAACCCAATGGATTTTTCAGTGTTCTAGAAGCCAAAGCTTGTTCAAAGCCCTACAAAAAGATTGAAAGCTTGAAGAAATCATTGTTGAAAGCGTGGGAAGAGCTCGATCCAGCCTATTTGGTAGCCACAACGTTCTTCACGAAACGTCTACGAGTTTGCTCAAATGCTAATGGTGGCCGATTCGAATTTGATAGTTCATTTATAATTGTTAATGTAATAATAAAACAGAGGACTTTTTCTCAAGTTGGTGCAAATGGTTGTCGATTGTTTTTTGATCAACATTTTCTCGGGAGTTTTTTCAACATTTCTGCAAACTCGGGAGTCGTGAGTGTTGGGTTGAAGTCAATTTCAATTCCCTAATGCGAAATTCAAGACGCTCATTATTTTTCCTCAATCTAGTACTTTGACAGTGATGAATTTTTCAAAGTGAAGCAAAATGCTAAAACTGAGTGTCTGTCTTGTTGTCTTGTCTTGTTGTTGCTTTGAATAATTAGTGAACTTTGCTAAAAACCATTTGTTGCACAGCTGAAATTGTGGAAAGAACTTTATATCGTGGAAAGAACTCTAGAACTGGAATATTTGTCTTAAACTATGAGAGTTTTGAAACTTAATATTAAATCTCTATGGCAAAATTCTATTTATTTAGAAGATTAGCCATGATTTCTTGCACTTGTTTATAATTTTTATTAAAATTTGAATCAATTTATCAGCACACTAATCAATAAACATAATCATTTCTCTGCAAAGAAATTTCTAGGCCAAGTTGAAAGAGTTGTTTTTATAAAAGAGTCGTCATCTTTTTCCTTATCAGCAATGAGAACAATAAGTAAAGCAACAAAGCCACCAATAATTAAAATAATTAACATGAAACAAATTGGGATTTTCACAATGAGAAATGTTCTCCCACAACATCCCTTTCTCTGCCATTCGTTCATCTTTCGTTGATGGGAAACTGTAAAATATTGGTTGGTATTTATTACTTTGGGAAACTTGACTTTGCAGTAGTCAAAACTTTTTCTTTTTCACTACTTCTTTTTTTTGTAAATCGTGTGATTCAAGTTTGGAATGTCCTTCCCGACAAGTTGCGTTTGATCTCCTCTCTTTTTTGATCTCCATTTTTGACTTTACATCAGAAACATGAAAAAAGTCATGGAATTGATGAAAATAGCGGATGTGGGGCGAATAAAAAACGCAATCAGGCAGGGAAAAAGTTGAATATAAAAAAAAGAGAGGAGATTAAACTCGTTTGATTTTAATAGGGCTACTTCTTGCATTTTGAGTGACTTTGTGATCTTTTATCTGGTACATTTGCCGCTTTCGCACTTTATTTCTTTCTAAATAAAGTATTTATATATATATAAAACTACAGTAAAGCTTTTTTTATTAGAATGTTCCGAATCTGAGGTCGGATCTAAGAACTACAAATTCCTTTGACTCTAAACCATTCCGATCACTGTGTACAACGCTGTACTGGACTAAATCCTCAGCTTACAACATTTCTTTTTAATATTCTGCTCAAAAATCTATTGATGTTTAAATTTTTCAATGTTTAAGCATTAGAAAAAAAAAAATGAAAAGAGATTTTGTTTTTCTTCGAATCTAATCTCTTACTCACCAACGCTATGAGACGGATGAGTCCTTCTTAAGCGCTGCGAATGTGGTGTTGCCTGAAAGATGAAGTGTAAGCTGAGAAAATTTCCATTTCTTAACATAATCAGGTATTACCCTTGGTGACCTAATCTTATGTCAGTTTTCAGCAGCATCCATTACTTCAATAATTGTGATTGTGGATCCGGATAAAGAAAGATCGTCATCGGTTCCACTCGAGACGGCATTAATGTATTGTTGCCGAGCCAATTCCACCTGAAATTACAATTTTCGAGCTCAAATCTAGCCAGTTAATAACAAAATTCGGACAAATTTGCAAATCGTGATACTTTCCTAAATTGCAAGTCGTTCAACTTACAAAATGATTTGAAAACTAGCCAATTTTAGTAAGGTGGAATTTTGGCTACTCTACTACTGAATTTTGAAAAAATCTCTGTACTTTTTCGCAACTTACATAACATTTCTTTACTTACCGTAAATACTGTACGGTAAGTACGGTAAGTACAGTATTTACGGTAAGTAAAGAATGCTAATTGAATTCAATTGTGTAAATGGCGACTTTAGGCCAAATTATTGAGTTATCCAGTTATGAATCGCGCTTTTTACTATTTTGTAAATTTCTCAAGATACTGAAATCAAGAAAAAGATATATATGAGTATTATTCGAAAGTTGAAGATCTCCTCTACATTTTGATATAAAAGTTTCTGAATTTGTTCAGCTTTTTTGGGCAAATTGACTGCACAAAAGAAGCGGTGGCCAAAAAATGGAAGGATGCCTTTGGATCAAGTTTTGGCTCCGCTCAAATTGAGCTAACCGTTTGATGTTTGGCCAATAGATATATCAATACAACTTTTTTTAAAATATAACAATTTCAGAGCATCTTTTCTTTTCTTTTCTTTTTCTGGGCGGCTATTTTTACACCATAAAACTTGAGGAATAGCTGAGCTGAAATGGGTTTTTTCGAAAACGACCTCTCCCTTTGTGCAGTCAATTTCCCAAAAGTTGAGTGAATTCAAAAACTTTTTGATTCCAAAATGTAGATGAGGTCTTCAGCTTTCGAATGATATATAACACTCATATACATTGTTCGATATCTTGAGAAATTTACAAAATAGTAAAAACGCGCATTCATAACTGGACAACCCAATAAATTTTCGTTGCGACAAATTGCGCAATTGGGTCTGAGAATACCATAAAAAGTTGTTTTTAATTATCAAAAAGATTTGATTAATCTAAGTAACCATAAGTACCGGATATTGCAAATAAAATCATTGAAAGCATACTTCAGCTTCACTTTTTCCTCTCTGTGACAAATCAAGAATGAAAAATAAGTACCTACTGTAAATACTGTAATAGTACCCCACCCCCTCGTACAGCCGCGTAATCGAAAAAGTTTTTAGTATTTAATTTTTGCAAAGCACCTGTACTTCAAAAATGCGTCCTTGGTAGCAAAAATAGCCCTAAATTCCAGCTATTTTTTGATACCCAAGCGCGCATTGTAGCATAAACCAGTGTCGAGAAAAACGCATCCAAAGCTAGACCACGCAACGCCCGCACCGTCATTATGGGGGTGGGGTACTATTACAGTATTTACGCTAAGATTTATTAGTTTCAAATTGAAAAACTTACATCCTGCTCCGACTCTTCTCCTCTCCTCATTGTGAATTCGCCGCAATGTCGCCAGCTGATACTCGCGCCTTTCATAAGCGACTCGTAATTCATCAACGGAGAGCTAAATTTTTATTTAACTGAGATTATTCTTAGCTAAAATCGCTATTGATGCTGACTCTAACCTCAGCAATCTCTTGATAATCCGGTGGTTGCTGATCGTTTTGATTGATTTGGGATTGAGCAGAGCTGTCGTTATTTGAGCAACTTGGCCCACTTTCTAAAGTAGACATGTAATGCTTGAAAACTGTAATTTAATATCAATAAATATAATAAGTGTTTTTGTGCTATTTGCTGAATATACGGGAGTGGAACAAATGCGACTTTTTAGCGCACCCGGACATTTGCGCACCTTTTTCCGCACCTTGCCCATTAGCGCACCTTTTTCGCGTTTTAAAAAGCTTTAAAAAGCTAATATTAACCAATTTCTATTCCAAAAGTTGTTTTTCTAGGTAATATTAGGGCGTAGAATCAAAATTTTGACATATCTGAGGTTGTGGAAATAAACGAACGGAATTATACAAAGAGAAAAATTGACAACTTTCTGTAATTTGATCTAGCCGTTTTGTCTTTCAAATTGGTTCCACACGCTCTGTTATGTCAAAATTTGAATTTGACACGTCAAATTACCTAGAAAAACAACATTTGGAATAGAAATTGGTTAATATTAGCTTTGAGAGCTTTTTAAAACGCGAAAAAAGGTGCGCTAATGGGCTAAGTGCGGAAAAAAAGGTGCGCAAATGTCCGGGTGCGCAGAAAAAGGTCGCATTTGTCCTACTCCCGATTATACTCATGCAAATGATTGTGAAATATTTGCATTTTTAATGTACAACTGTTTTGCAATCGCACTATAGGGAGAGTCAAATTGCGGTTGGGGCCAAAAATTTAGTGCACTATAGCGGGAATTGCACTATACAGGGTTGCACTATAGAGGGAGTTATTTTGTTAAGAAATACATTAAGCTCGGCCGGGACCAAAAAATCTTTGCACTAGAGGGTTACACTATACGGGGAGTTGACTGTATTTGCATTTTTATTGTATAACTTTCGGCAAACTCTCGAAGACTTTCTAAGGCCAAAAACTGATTGTGAATAGGGTTTTCTTAAAAGAAACAGTCAGAAAAACAAAAAAAGATGTTGATTTTGATGAAAACTGAAAATATTTAACTTTATTGTTTCAATCTAGCTAAAGCTTCAATGAATGATGTCACATTGAACAAAGTGAATGATGTCATCAACAAAACCATACCCAAATCGTCATATGCTGGCGGTGCAATGATAGAAATCATATTGAAATTTTGAAAATATGATTTGAATTTCGAATATCGAACAATAAAAATCACAAATGGAACAAAGCAAACAATGAAAAAGAAGAAAAAGAAGAAATAAAGAAGAAAAAGAAGAGTGAAGTTTAATCATTTTCATTGAAAGAGGGCAAAAAGAGAAAAACCCGGAATTCTCCGTTATCAGAAATGTTCTCACAACAGAAATCAGAGAGTTTTTCAAAGCGTAATATCATTGATTACTTTTCAGAAAGGATTGAAAAGAAAAAGAAGATTTGATAAAAGGTTAACGAAGATTTGGGTGGGTTGAGTTCAGGTGTTCTTTGTGCACTCCCACAATCGCTTACCATCTGGCAAATTTCCCTGGTACAGTGCGTTTCAAATTCTTAAACGCACCCTCTAAAATAGCGAATTTTGCATTTTGAACACCGCTACAACTATTGATCTTTTTCTATTAGAAAGAGCATGTCTTGAAACCTTAAAAACAAGAAAAATAAGCATACTATAAAAAGTATAAATTTTCAAAATAGAAACTTTTTGCTAAATCAACCGTTTCAAATTCTTAAACGCACTATGAAATTATTTTATTTATCGACACAAATTAACAATCAAAGGTAAAAAATCAAAACCATTAATCTGCACACGCACCAGAACGATTAATTACTTGAAAAATGCGGTCTGGCATTGAATTGATGAGGTTTTGAAAAGCAAAGACGTCGAGATAGCTTCAGGCCAAACGGATCGCAGTTTTAGGTACAAACATAAGTCTTAAAGCTGACGATGATTTTTGTAGGCAGCTTGGACAAGTATTCGGCATAAATTCCCTATCGGATTGACGTCAGGAGACTGAGCGGGTCAGTCTAAAGTTGCGATGTTGTTGTTGTTCAGCCAGTCTCGGGCGCCTCCGGCTCGATGCATTGACCCGTTGTCGTATTGAAACAAATCGGAAACGGTTGGATTTAGGTCGACTCCTTATTGAGTCGTCAATCCTCAAACGGGCATCAATCTGGCCTTTCTCATAATCCGTGAGCAGCTTTCCGTGTGCCATTTACCTGGAAATTAACAAAAATTATAAATTTAATAAAAAAATATGCACAACAAAACGAAAAATTTCAGATAACAACAGCAAAGGCGGGTGCGTTTAAGAATTTGAAACGGTTAAATCAACAAAAAGTTTCTATTTCGAAAATTTATACTTTTTATAGTATGCTTATTTTTCTTGTTTTTAAGGTTTCAAGACATGCTCTTTCTAATAGAAAAAGATCAATAGTTGTGGCGGTGTTCAAAATGCAAAATTCGCTATTTTAGAGGGTGCGTTTAAGAATCTGAAACGCACTGTATAAAGGGTTCCCCTTTTGGAACTTTTTTTTCGGGATTGGTGGGAATGTCATTTTGGGAAGGGAATGGCTTTTCCGCTTTCTCTGTGCCCAAATTTTTGAGAACAATTTTTGGCCTGAAATTTGGCTTTATCTTTGCTACGAATTCTACATCTCTTTAAGCCAAAATTAGCTGAAATACTTCCACAAAAAACTTCCAGAAACATCTTTCAGAAACAGTGACTGACATCGGACACCATTTGTACATGTAATTTATTAAAGCTTCAAGCAAATACGATTTTTACTCATTATTCAGGAACCGGGCTTCATTTTAGGTTTCTCTGCGTAAACAGGTGGAGGATCTGAAATGAAAATATCAATACTTTCCTATAGATTGTCTCTATAAATGAATTTACCGTACTCTCCAACTTTTTCAAATCCAATATCACCGATTACAATTGGAAGCTGACAACTCGTTGAAGAGTTTAGCGTTTCTTTTGGAACGAATTGAAACCTGAATTGTTTATGCAAAAATTGATTGTTTCTTCAACGTTTGTTACGTTTAACACGTAGAACAGCCGGCTAATCGCACATTCAAATGAAGAGGGAACGCAAGGGATTTCGAATGGAATCACAAGAGATTCTGTGCAGTGTGGTTGAACATTGATTGCCTGGAAAACGGAATTTTATCAAACTTTCAATTAGATGACAAATTCTAACAATCTGCTCCACTTTCTGCTTTTGTTTTTAGCAGAAAAAGTTGTTCCCGCATAGGAAAATGAATTGTAATCAAAAATTAAAAAGCAAAAAAGTTTGGCGTAGAGAGGAATCGAACTCGGACCGAAAAACTTTGTATCCGACACATTATCCACTCAGCCACCGCTCCACTCTTTCATTTTCGTAAACAGGCCCCAAAAGAGAGTCCTAAAGCTTTAAAGCCGAATTTCTCGCGTTTGCAGGGTCTTTGGCGAAAAAATTTTAGGTATTCGTGATCTCCATGGTCGATTCTATAAGATTTACAAGGGTCAAAACGATTCCAAACTTGGGGCTATTCCCTTGTAAGATAAAGGACCGTTTGGTTCTTTATCTTTGGTCGGAGTACCTACCGTAAATACTGCAATAGTACCCCACCCCCCTCGTACAGTTGCGTAGTCGCAAAAGTTTTTTAGTTTTTCATTCTTTTCAAAGCACCCGTACTTTTCTAAAAAGTGTCTTTGGTAGCAAAAAATAGCTGAAATTCAGGGCTATTTTTTGATACCGAAGCGGGCATTGTAGCATAAACCAGTCTCGAGAAAAACGCATCCAAAGCTAGACTACGCAACACTCCGCACCGTCATTATGGGGATGGGGTACTATTACAGTATTTACGGTATGCTAAATCTCAAAACTATGGCTAAATTCTAGATCAATTTTAAATCCAGATTGTTTGCGCCAAGGCGGAGCTTATCGATTTGATTATAGAGGTTATGAATCCATAAAATCGATAGTTGAAAAATCTTTAGCAAAAAAATTATAATATTATGAACACCGCAGTTCATTTATAAAATTCACCTAGTCGGTAAACGGTTTCGAACTTTGAATTGAGATCATCCTTTCGTAGAACCGATCTCGATTCTTTAGAAATTGTCTTGTCTTAGAAGCTCCAACTTGTCGCAAACAATCCGAATTTTAAATTGTTCTACCAGATAGCTTTGGCTTTAAAACGAATGTCTTGTTGCTAAAACAAACAAAAGTTACTACAACTTACACATTTCATTTTCCCATGATGCTTTGAAAATATCTTCTCTCTCATCGAATTGTGCTTTTTCATTTTGAAAGCCATCTTCAATCGAATATTGCTTTTTTCCAAATTCAAAAGCCAAAAGTTCTTGTGTTCCTTCCAATGAGATTTTTAACTAAAGTTTAAATTTTTAAAAGACAACTAAAAGGTAACTTACCATATCAACTTTCCTTTTGCTCTCATTGTTTACAATCAAGTTTATGTTCAAAGTTTCATTTGGCACAAAGCCAATTTTTGAGGATCGTAGCCTAAACATTATTTGTTACCGTATTTTCTCTAATAGTAGTGCATCGGCAAGCCGAGTTGGTGACTATTTTACGGTTTCGATGTTTTCGCAGAAGCTCAACACTCTAATCCCCTACTAGATCTCATCGTCAGCTACATTTTCTGACCCCACATCAATAGGTTCTGATAAGCGGTTTTGAGATTTCGAGCAATTTAGGCGACGCTCATGGTGCACTACTACTAGAGAAAATACCGTATCTGCTTTTTGAATTATCACTGATAGTGAGGCTGTTGTTGTGTCTACTGTAGAAAAGATAATTGCCTTAAATCTATTAGGTTGTCCGGAAATAAATGAGCGTTTTCAACTCGAATATTTAAAATCGCATAACTTGATCCAAACAAAACTTTATTAATCGAAATAAGAACGACTACAATTAACACATTTTTGCCAACGAGAAACAAGTTTATTGATGCCGGTAGCATAGAAGTCCGGGTTTCTGGAGGCGATAAAGTCGGCGAAGGCGTTTTTGCATCGTCTTGAGTGTTGAAGCATTCTCCGGAGAAAGTTGTCGAGGTGCTTGAAAAAGTGGTAGTCGGTAAGGAAAAGATCCGGCGAATATGGCGGGTGAGGCAAAGTTTCGTAGCTCAGTTCGTTTTCTAGCTTTTGCAGGGTCGGTTGTGCGACGTGCGGACGAGCGTTGTCGTGAAGAAGAATTGATGAACCTTTTCTGTTGACCAATGCCAGCACACATTCTCCGCAATTTCTGGTGCATTTCGTCGATTTGTTGGCAGTACTTCTTTGCCGTAATCGTGTCGCTCGATTCAGAAAGCTGTGATGGATTGGATCCGGCTGCGGATCACCAAACAGTCACCACAACCGCTCTTTTGGTAGGCCAAATTTGGCTTTGGAAAGTGTTGTGGAGCCTCTCCGGCGTCGAACTACTGAGCGGAACGTCGCCGGTTGTCTAGAGGATCCACTTTTGTCGCACATTACGGATCCGGTCGAGAAATGGATGGTTTTGTTGCGCTGAAGAAGAACAGACGACACCCCAAAACGACGATTTTTTTGATTTTCATTCAATTCGGTGCGGCACCGATTTATCGAGCTTTTTGACTTTCCATTCCGTTCAGTTGGCCGGAAATGGTCGTCTTGCCCACACCAAGCTCCTCCGCAAGCTCTCGAATAGTCGTACGTGGATTTGCTTCCACCAGGTCTTCAGTTCGTCGTCAACGAAGTTCAACAGGACGGCCACAACCTCCTTTATCTTCGAGGATCAAAAAAATCACTAGCTCGGAATTTTCGGGAAGCAAGTTCGCACTGTTGACTCGCCGATACTGCCTTGGCCCGAAACTTTGTTAATGTTACGTGCCGTTTCAGCTGCATTGCAACCGAGCTTGAACTCATAAAAGAAAATCTGGCGAAAGTTGGTTTCGGGCATCTAAAACGGCGAAGCTTGCAATTCGCAAAAATTTTATTTTTAACAAAATTTAAAAGTATGGTTAAAGAGAACCCGAACTCGAGCTTTTTAATGGTATATAACATTACAGGGTACAGAGCATATTTTATTGAGAAAAATGTACCCAAATAATAAAGAATACAAAACGCTCATTTATTTCCGGACAACCTAATATCTATATATCTTATATCTATAAATAG